AAATGTATAAGTTTAATTATGAATTGCTTCAAAACATAAATGGAATTTAATTGGTTACAAAGCTATATTCTAACATAATCAGGACATTGTTTCGTATAGTTAATTTACTAGGGCATAATTTAGTAGTTCTCATAAGCTGCACATTTTGAATCCTGCAGGCAAATAACAAACTGATTAGTAAATGTAATAATGTAATTTATTCTACTGACAAGTGGAATTAAAAAGTGCAATATCCTACTTGATCAATTGCCATTTTAAGAACATTAAGACTTCATACAATTATGCTATTCATATGGAATGCAGAATCTGAATTTACAGTATCATTATTGCATGAGTGATTTAATGTTAAGTTTCAGCCAAGTTTTTTTTTAAAAAAAAAAACTAGGAAGTCTAAGTACATAATTTAAAAAGGAAATAATTACTCTTCATAAAAAATGTTTAACAAAGCAATATTTATGTAGATTTCTCATTCATCCCACTTCATGTTTTAGAGTAGGCTTTGTATATTTTTTTTTCCTAAATGGCCATCAATAAGGAAGGCATGACACTCCAGTTTACTGTGCCAAAAAAGAGAACATGTATATTGCTTTTGTATGGATGCAGGCATTAGCTATGCATAGGCTCTACACAAAAGCAAATTTAAAACAGGAATATGAGACATATTTCTAAAATATAACAGACTGGGCTCTATCCAGCAAAATGCAATTCAGTGGTGAGAAAGTAAGAGTGTACATTTAGGCAAGAAAAACTAAATTCACAGGTATAAATAGATGGCACCTAGCTCAACAACTGTTTAGTAACTCTGAGAGAGATCTAGGATTCCTAGTATGATAAAGCAGCTACAGCTGTCAAAAAGGCTAATGCAGTCTAAGGCTGCATCAGCAGAGAGATAGAATCAAAATCACGTGAAGTGTTAGTACCACTTTATGCTGCACTAGTAAGTCCATACTTGGAATACTGCCTCCACTTTTGGTTAAAAAACAGATATTGAGCAGTGGTGGGATTCAAATAATTTAACAACAGGTTCTCTGTCCTAATGACTTTTTCCAACAACCAGTTCACCAAACTGCTCAGAAAGTTAACAACCGGTTCTCCTGAACTGGTGCAAACTAGCTGAATCCCACCACTGATATTGAGGCTTTAGAAAGTGCAGAGAAGAGCAACAAAAAAGATTAAATGGACTAGAATAATGAACAGGAACTGGGAATGTCTCATCTAACAAATATCATGACTGGGGTGACATGATAGCAGTCTTTTATTATTTGAGGGGCTGTTATAGAGAAGAGGGGGATAACTAATTCCCGAAAGCATTTAAGCACAAGATAAGAAGTAATGGGATGGAAGCTTAACAAAGAAAAAATTTGGGCTAAAGGCTTTTAAGACTGGACAGCCACTTGTCCAAAATTGTATTGTCTCCGGCAATAGAAGATTAAGACTTCAAGATCTCTTCCAACTCTGTTATTTTGTTATTAAACAGGACTTTTTTCAAAGGCATTAAGGATTGGCTGGGGATCACCATATAATAATTTCTCCTTTCTCCTTTTGGAATTTGTATTATGAGCCAGTTATTATTTTCTTGATAATAGTTATTGCATCTAAATTTGCCACAGATCCATGATGGTGAACCTATGTCACACATGACAGAGGTAGCATGCAGAGCCCTCTCTCTGGGCATGCGCTCCACTTTGTTGCGCATGCACCTCCCATCTGGTCTTTGGGTCTCTGCCACGCATGCATGGAGGTCACATACATGCGGGGATCACATGCATATGCATGGGGGCATGGGTAGGTGCCTGCATATGCAGGACGCAGGGGGATCATGCATGCACAAGGATGGGGCACATGCACAGGGTGGGCGCGCACTTGCACTTTGGGGATGCACACACGCATGTGCACTTTGGGCACTTGGTGTCGAAAAGGTTAGCCATCACTCCGATTATTCCATTCCTTATTTCAAGAAAAATGAATATGCTTCTCATTAAAAACAAGATGTAAAAAACTGAATTTAGGTGTGCTCCTATTGTTTTCCTTTGTTTTTTTTTAATAATAGTTTTATTGAGAAAGATTTTACAAGCCAAAATAATACAAATCTAAAATAAAATGAAAATTAAGAAAAAGAAAAGTGCTCAGCAAATAGAAATGAAATATAGACAGATATCCTTTATTGACATTTTTTACTGTGTGCACACTGGTAAATATTAAAAAGGAAATTCTGTTGCCCACTCTCAGTGCGTGTGTGTGTGTGTGTGTGTGTGTGTGTGTGTGTGTGTTGCTAAGTGAGACATTTGGTGAGTTTTATGACATTTTATGAGATTTTATGACATTTCTTGCTAGAGTTGGTAAGTGAATCTGGTTTATCAATTGTCCTTGTCAGAAGGTAACAAAGGATGATCACATGATCCCAGGAAACCGTCATAAATATGAATCAGTTGCCAAGCATCTGAATTTTGATCATGTGACCATGGGACTGCATAACTATGAAAACTGGTCATAAGTCACTTTTTTTTTGCAATTTTGAACGGTTACTAATGAACTATTGTAAGTTGAGGACTACCTGTATACACATCTATATATACATATTATACATACATACATACCCACATATATACATATATGTGCGTATACATATACATATATGTACATATATCTTAATCACTGTCCATTTTGAATATATAGTAAAAAGACTAAATGTAAGAGGTTTCCAATCTTTTTATAGCAATTATAAATGCATTTATATTTTATCATCTCAAGCTAAGTTTACTTCATGGCTCTCTCCTTCTTCAGTTCTTTCCTTTCCAATCATTAAACCCATAAATACAAGTTTTTTTTTTTTTTGTCTATTTTCAGAAAAAAAAATAAAACACAAATTTCACTTAATCAAAAACCGCATAAACAGAGATGGGATTCTACCAGTTCAGACCAGTTCTATAGAACCATGTATTACTATTCTGCGTAGTTTGGAGAAATGGCAAATTGCAACACTGGCTGGCCCAGTCCCTTCCCACCCGCCTCTCCCCGCTCTGCCCAGTCATTTTTATCTCATATGCGTGCCATCTAACTTGCCTGCATTGTGCCTTCGCTAATTTTTGGTAAGTTGCTATTTTTCCTTTTTTTCTCTCCCGAAGATCAGTTTTCCGATTATCAGCTGTGCCGCACAATTTAGATTACCAGAAAGCAGGAAATCATCAGATTTCTTGCTTTCTAGCTAATCTAAATCACTGTTCTACTGCTTTGCCTTCACCCAGGAAGCTTCCCCAAAGCCCAGTCAGGGATTGCATTCAGGGGTTTGGGGGGGAGAAGTGGCCTGAGAGCAGAGCTGAACCTTCCTTAAGACTGAAGCTTCTATTTTTCAGTGATGATTCAGGCAGCAGATTGCAGAAAGATAGATCTGTGAGTGAATCTGTGATTCTCCACGCAACTCAATTTTTTATGGATGGATGTAAATATTGTATGTATGTAAATACCCACAAATTAGGTCATGACCACAGAACTGGTTAAGAAATTTAAACCAAAAATCTTCTAAATTCATTCTGGAGATGAATATATTTTAAAATCCCATTATCACAACCCTAAAATATTAAAGTTAAAACAGGAACTTTAAATTTATATTTGCTTTCAATGATTTTTTGCTAGAATCTTAGATGACATGACAGTATATTCTATCATTTACTCAGATGACTGATTAAATAATTCTTTTTACCAATAACACGGTACATCTTCATCTATTCTTATTTATAAAATGGTTCTTTAACTTGTTACAAGATCATAAGTGTTTCTCTTTTAGTTTATGCTGATCATGTTATTTTATTCTTTTTATTCTGAAACCATCAAATGCATTTTCTCCTCTGCTTAGCTGCCCCCTCCCACACACACACAAGCCTAGCCTTTGGTGTCTTCCTTACAGCAGTGTAACAAAATAATTATTCCTCATACAGAAGAGATTTTACTAAATAATTTGGGATAAATATTTAAAATGTTCTGATGTACTAGGTGAAAATGCAACAGATTATGTAAAAATCAATATGGCTAATATTATTTGTAAAACTATTTCAATTATGTCTGTTTATGTTAATTATTTCTGACATCTATAACATACTTTTGATTCTTTGTTTAATAAATTAAAGAAATTTACCAAAGTAAAGCATTTCTTATTTAAGTTATCCTATTAATATATTCAAGTTCAATATTCAGTATCTCATTTGGTTTAACCATTTAAATTATAGAACATTAAACAATCTTTATTTATGAAAGATTGAGACGGACTCTGATAACCAATAAATATTTTTCTAAGTGTGACTTAAACCCTTAATTGTTTTAAAATATATTTTACTGAAGTTAATTATATTTTCAGATAGCTAACAGTCAAAGATTACAAAGCCAGCACAATGATTTACTACAAACTGCAATTAAAATCCATTCATTTCTAAAAGCAATGTGCCCATTTTGTACTTGACACTCTTATCCTTTCAAGAAAAACAAATTACAAGTTGCCATGGGTCAGTGGTGGGATTCAAATTTTTTTACTACCGGTTCTGTGGGCGTGGCTTGGTGGGCATGGCATGGCTTGGTGGACGTGACAGGGAAGGATACTGTAAAATCTCCATTCCCACCCCACGCCAGAGAAAGGATACTACAAAATCCTCATTCTCTCCCCACCCCACTAACCTGCTTTCCAGCTCCATTCTCCTGTGAGGGCAACAAGAGAAGACCCAGCCGATCAGCTGGGACTCAGGAGACAGAGAATAGATGGGGTCAGGGGCAGTCAGAGGTGGTATTCCAAAATACTCAAAATTTCCGCTACCGGTTCTCCAGAACTGGTCAGAACCTGCTGAATACCACCTCTGCCATGGGTACATAACTCTTGTACCTTGTGTATTTTTTTTAATCTTAATCAATAATTCTTAGTTATGCATATTAATGGAGAGGAAAAGACTAACTGCATATTGCTTTGCAACAGATCTTTTATAATACTTACTTAATAGATCTTTTATAATACTTACCCCATGGTCTTTGGCAGCCATAACCACTTTAAAAAGAATATCCTCCTCAACAAATGGTCTGACAGCATCGTGGATTACTATTATTTCTGGTTTCTGGAGTGGAACACAGAATGTATTGCCTTTTACAAATACTTTCAACCCATTGAAAATAGATCTGTGACGGGTTAGTCCTCCTTCCACTACTGTTGTTCGCTCATGGCCATATTTTCTAATAATAGATTTCATTATTTCAACATTCTCTGGAGAGACCACAACCACAACATCAGAAATCCAGTTGATTCTGTAAGAAATTGAAGAAAATAATATGTCTAAAACTTCCTGGGACTTAATGCTCCTGGGACTTTATTCTATTTGGAAATAAATATATAGTATAAAATAAATAGCTTCCAAAATTTTGGCTATACATTTACAGGTACATAGGTTATTTTTCACCACAATACTTTATAAAGACACAGGACAAATGTTTACTGTATAATACATAATATATATTCAGTGAATATGAAATTGCAGTCTTAATAATACCGTAAGACTATGACTAGAATAGAAAAACCTCTTATAGTCATGACTAACTTATGTTTCACTAATTTTGATAGACATATAATCTCTGTTTTCTAATCGCAGATTTAGGATTCATCTTGTGAGTTTTCCATGAGATTGTTAGTTAAAGAAGTTGCAAGGCAAAGATAGTTTAAATTTAAAGCCTACATTAAGGTATTGGCTTAGGATCTAGAGACTCAAATTCCATTCAAATCTGGACCTAACCAAATAATTCAAATTTTCCTAATGCAATATTTTTAAAATTTTCATATTAAAAGCATGCTCAAGACTTATATATTCAAACTCTAATACAAAAGGATATTTTAAAATGTGAAGATAAATATTCTACTAGCATAAAATACACATTAAAATACCTTAGTAACATTTTATCATGCAACTATACATATTCTCAGATCACAACTGAAGTAAAGAAAGAACTGTAGGTTTTTTTTAATTACTAAGACTTTGAATTTGAAAAGGAGATTGAAATACAGTATACCCCATTCTTTCACAAATTTTGTGTTTGTGCACTATTTGTACTAATACAATTAGCGCAATGCACAAAACATGTTGTTCTTGTCAATTTTACTGACGTGGTCAGCAGAAAAGCTGAAAGCATCATCCTGTTTTTGTATGTGGAACTAAGAATGTTGGAACTGACTTGAAGCTAAAGCTGACAAACATTATATCCAACTTCAAAAATTGATGCTATCTAAATAGAATATTTTATTTGGCCAAATGTGATTAGACTCACAAGGAATTTATCTCCAGTGTAGAAGAACTGCCCAATGTACATGCAGAGCAACAGAGTAATAATAATCATACTACTGCAATAATAATAATAATAATAATAATAATAATAATAATAATAATAATAA